CACTCCTTCATCCATTTCCTCAACAGTCTCCTAACTTTATCTTCAAAATGTATTCTGAATCTCCCTACTTATCACATCCACTGCTACCACAACAATCCAAGATACCATAATAATCTCTCACCTAGCCTTCTATGATAACCTCTTATAACCTGCTATCTAATTTTCTTGTTTTCATTTTGCTCCCCCACCCCTGCCCTTGAGTCTGTTCTTACAAAGCATTGGAAGAGATCTTAAAATACCCTTTGCTTGCTTTCCTTGTGACTAGGATAAAATTCATACACCTTGTCCTAGCCTTTAAGCATCTATTCTTTGGTACTGCCTCTTTTTCCTGTTACTCTCTCTCCTGTTACTGAACACCAGCCACAATGGCTATGTTTAAATTTTTAAAATACACCAAGCTTGTTCTGGTCTGGAGACCTTTACCTTCTGTCTGGAGTGCTCATTCTTGAGATCTTCATAGTGCTCTCTAGTTTATATCATTAAAATCCCAGCTTGAAAGTAAACTTTTAGATATATAGATCATCCCATTTTAATCAATTCCCCTTGACAATCTCTATTCTTTCACAGTGCTTAATCTTCCTTTATTATACTTATAGCTACTTGAAGTTATATTTTTAATTATCGGTTGATTTTTTTTTTCACTTTTCCTCCTTCTCTAGAAATTAACTTTTGTGGCTAAATGAAAGGATGTTGGATTGTCCTGCTCAGTAAATGTGGTTTCTCCTGCAATTAGCACAGTACCTGGCACACAAAGAGTTCTGAGTGACTGAGTCTGAAAGTTCTCAGGAGATAAATCAGATGGCTGACCAAATGAGAATTAGGTGCTTGAGTTTTCTTCTGGTGCTGACCTGGGCTGTACTGAACCAAAAAGCCTTCTAAGAGTGAAAGGCTCTAATACAAAGTAATTCCAGGGTGTTTGTTCCAGTGCTTGTTAGAGATTGAATGTAGAAATCCTCAATGATCCCTGCTAATAGCTAATTTGCCTATTTCCACTGATAGTTGCTGGCTATTAGTTGCTGCTGCCCAGTCCCCATCTAACTTGCCTTACAAGAGCTTGCTTTTAAGCAGAATTTTCTTTGCTTGCTTTACCATCTCCTTGCTTGGCTTTTCTTTCTTTAACAAGCACAACAGCATGCTGCTGCATCTTCAAAGAGTAAATTAATTCCGTCCGCAAAAGGGTCAAGTGCTAGAAAGTGCATAGCCATGCAGTTTGCATGGCAGGATACAGAAGATATGATGCTAATAAGATTCTAAGATGAGAACAGCAGACTGTCTCTCGGGATTCAGATGAAGGGGTCTGTAAATTTTAAAAGAAATGGTCTCCGAAAACTAATGATGTCTGCTTTCCAATTCATTAATAATGTGGAGTGGGGAGATGGGAGTGAGATCCAGGCCATGCTTTGAAATATCAAAATGTAACGAGGAAGGAAACAGTGAGAGTGATCTCAATGGGGTCATAAAGCTGGGAGAAGGAGGCAAACTGTAAGAAGATGTGGTGGTGCTATATGGAGGGGAGGGAATCAATCCACCCCATGTGTGTATATTTATGTGCATATAGTACCTTTATCTATACAAGAGTAGAAAAAGCACTGCAACATTGATAAGGCTTTTGCAATTTTCATATTTAAGGTGATTCAGAGAGAATATTTCAAGTATTGTAAAAACCCATCTGAAATGCCTACCTTTCCATATTTACAAACTCTGCCCTTCACCTCTTTGCATTGCATACAAGGAACTGAGTAACAAGAACCTCAACCTTGTTTGTAGTTAATAGTGGAAGGAAAAAAACCCTCAGGCAAAGCCTAATGAACCAAGAGCAATTCTGAGCTCTCCTCTGTAATATCTGCCGAGGCAGTGTCTTTCCAAGGGCTGCCTGGACATATCGTGTGACCTTGCTGCTTTACATCATTAAAATTTCCCATTACTGGAATGGTGTTTGCATGGAGGGGCCGTTGTGCAGACATTATAGCTGAGTTTCTCCCTGCTGCATTTGGAGTTTGCACTAATAGAAAATGCCTCTCTGCTTGAACAGTTCCCTCGAGCTAGGAGGTATGCAGCAGCAGGAGAGTTTAGCTTTGGCTTTTATTTTGACAAAGCTATTACATTTTGCAGATTGAGGTTATGGTCTTTCCTTCTATCTCTGTATTTTATCTGCATGATATTTTCTGATCTCCCTTTTAAACCCCCATTAGTTACGATTGAGGCTCTGGGGTGGCAGCCTGCCTTAGAGCTGTGATAGCGTCAGCTTTTCTTATGAGCCACTAAATAGACTGACTGATTCAGTGGGGTTCAGTCACGTGGAACCTTTCCAAGGGGCCTAGCTTTAGAAAGGAGACCCTTGTGGGCCGGATACGAGCCTTGGGTTGGAGATGGGTGGATAATGCTACTCCTAAAGAACCAACAATTGTAAAAGCAAAAGCCCAGCCTTGTTCTCTAGGGCCGCAGGCTCTGTTGGCTATGTTCTGACTTCCTTCTTATGCAGGTGGCCTGCTATGCCATGAGGCTGTGAAAGTTGACAGAATTGGTGGCATTTCCAAACCCCAGGCCCATCCTCAACCAGTATTACTACATCTCCTAAGGTGCCACTATCCCACTATTCTGCTCCAAACTTTGTTTCATCCACAAGACACGTTATATTTTCAAGAACCTCTGATTTTAAGATTTCAGCAAAAAGTTTCACAGTAATGAATAGTTTGCCTAGAGGGGGCAGGAATATTTTAGAGCATTGGTTATTCAACTGTAACCTGTTTAGCACCAATCCAAATGGAACAGAGAGATTCTTTGACCAGCTCTACTAAGTCTCAGCAAACCATAGCCAACTGAGAGGTTTTGAACCCAAAGGTAGAGCTCTAATTTCTAAAGCAAGATAATGTGGCCATTTCTTTGTTCACATCCTTCCTGTTTTAAATAAGACAGGGGTTTATTCCTGGTAAATGTTTCTGAAGCTGCAAGGGTAGCACACGCGCCTCAAACACTTCACTTTGTTCACCTACTCTTGAATACGTGGGCCGTGGCAGTCTAGAGTGGGGGCTGTCACAGAGAAGGGTTGTAGAGGTGAGGAATTTATTTCCCCAGGAAATCTCATTAGTGATGCAGTGCCTGTTTTTCATTGAGGTTTCTGCCCCTTGGCTTTGTTTTGACTCAGTAACAGAACCTGAAAGCTGTCTGGTGACTCACAGAAGGTCATGCTCAGAGTTGGGGGCAGACCAGAGAATGCTGCCTACCTGTGATTGATGTGTATTAAAGCTGTCTTGAGCCACTCATAAACACAGCAAGAATCCTGTTCTCTTTTCATCAGTGCTCTTGACCAAGACTTGATTTACTGTTTTGAAATCAGCTGCTCCTTCAGTCCTCTACAATAGCTTCTTTAATAGCTTGTCATAACAGTTGATGACAATTTGGAAAAGCTCACATATTCAATATATTTTTTTAAATTGACTTTGCACTATTCCAGGTACCATGGTTTTATAAACAGTCTAATTGTTTCCTGAGTGTTTGCTGACCTAAAGGAAAGTGTTGACGAATCAGACCCTTCTTTTCTGTCTATGAGGGTATTGAGATGTGTATTCAATATTGTAGCAAATCACTACTGAAAATTGGTTCTGTGTCCCTGAGGCTACTTACATCCAAAGGTGAAATGGCAGAAGTACCTGCTAGTGAAGACCATCCAGCTCTGCTATTTCTTGATAAGATTGCTTTAAAGTTTGTATTGAGAAGGGATTGAAATTGGATCTGAGAGTTATAAGTGACAGTACAATTCTCATTCTGGTAAATAATAATCAACATCATCTGTACCATTGAATGGGTTTTGTCAGTTTGATACATATACCTACATGATAATGAAATTTAAAACTGATATGCGGCTGGGGTGGGGCTCAGTGGTAGAGCCCTTGCTTAGCATGTGCAAAGCTCTGGATCTGATCCCCAGCACAAAAAAATCAAAACAAAAACAAAACAAAAAACAGGTCAAGACAGCACTGAAGAAAAAAGGAGTCATTCAATAACATTAAAAGTGCAGAGTATTAGAAACATTTGCACAGAATATGTAAGACTTATGTGAGATGCAACAACAATTAAAAATAAATTTCTACTTTTGGTCAATTTATGTGTTATATTTTCATGACTTGGGCACGTTGAACTGTGCCCTTACCTCCTAGTAGCCACTTGTACTTCTGTGTCCAGGAATGCCCCCTGGGGTGATTTTCAAAAATAGCTAGCAACCAAGTTGACAGGTAAGCAACCATTTAGAATAAATTCAGTAGTTCCACAGAACAGTTGCACCAGCCACAGAAGTCAATGCCACTATACCAGAAGAACATCAACCTTGCTCCTTATCCCTTTCCCCAAGTACAAATCTCACCTATCCTTGAAGGCTTCGCTTAAGTTTTACTTCTATTATAAAGAAGGCTTTCTTGTCCTGTACAGTTGATTCTTGACCCTGAATTCATACAATAAAGCTCTGTGCCTCTCAGTCATCTCTATATCACATGGTATGTTAAAACATTATATATTTTTATATTCCCAATAGCACAATGTTGTACACATGTAGCATGTCAAAAATATTTTTGGACATGGAATACTTTGATAATAACACCCACAGATGATGTTTTAGGCTTTTTTTGGGGGGGGCTGGGTATCGAACTCAGGACCTGGTGCTTGCAAGGCAGGCGGTGGAACCACTGAGCTAAATCTCCAGCCCACGGATGATGTTTTAAAGTGCTACATTTGTTATAGTGCTAATCTGAATTTCCTTCATGGGCTTGAACTTGGTTTCAAAGCACCCTATTGTCTTTTAGGAGAGCCATCTGAAAAAATTACATCTCAGCAAAGAACTATAGCATCAGCATATTATCACTAGTGTCTCTTTCACTGTAAATTTTCTCTCTTCATATACTCTGCACATTTTTCAGATGATGAGAAACTTTTCTTCATTCTCTTTAATTTGGAGTGGAATTGTGAATGATAGCTGCAATATCAAAGGTAGAGTTCAGTTTTCACCAATCGCTTCTCAGCCTTTTGGCTAAGATCAAGTGCAGTTTTCACCAGAACCAATGGAGAATTGTATATATTACAGTTGATTCTTATATATTAATCTATAGTTTCATATTTGAGCAGCATATATAGTTTCTGTTCAGAAAAAATAATGTTGAGATAAATCTACAAGAAGCCTCCCAGTGTTTAGCTTTTTGTTAAAAGGTTAGTTTGGTTATCTGAAACTAAGAATATGATTTTTTCCTCCTTAGAAATGATATCAAGGAATTAGTGTTTCAAGCCAGCCTTAGAGTTAGTCCTTATCAATCCACCAGCAAAGAAGGGTCTTAGACTTTGCCGGGAGGGTTTTAGGAAAGGTAAGGTGGATTCTCTGAGAAAGACTAAGGGCAGAACCTCCAAAGCATTGAGCATTGTTCCCAGATGACTCTTAATATATTTTTTGTAAAGCTACAATAGGGTGTTGGCGGATCTTTAAAACGAGTGTAAATAAGTAGAGTAAATAGAATAGATAGCACAGTAAAACATCGGAATAGTATTACATGAGCCACTTCTAGTACTGGTTCTGCTATAAACTCTCTTGTGGACCTTGAATGTCACTTTTTCATTGATGGGAAAAGTATCTGATACCCAAAACTTACAGGAGAAGAAGTTTCTTTTAGCTCACATTTATATTCCATAGTTTGCTGGTTCCAAGTCATGGTTCCAAACATGGTGGAAGGGCCTACCACACAGGAAAGTGGCTCACATCATGGCTGCCAGGAAGCAAAGAAAGGAGGAGCAGGGAAGGAGATATACCCTTTCAGGTCACACCTCTATTGACAGTCCCCACCTACTAACAAAAGTCACCTATATCATCCCCATGATTCAATCACCTCCCAAAAGCTGTGCCTATGAATGCATGAGGCCTCAGGGACATTCTCAATCCAAACCACAACAGTATCATTATACTTTTCTGGCCTATTTTCTCCTGTACAAAAATGAACAATTTCACTGTACAAGGATCTTTTCAGATGAACCATATTATGACAATCATCTTTCTTATAAGGCCATCTCTACCCAAATCTCTGTCCATCCTCTTCGTGCTGCCTCAATTTCTTTTTTTCTGCTGAATCCAGCCACTCTTTCCATTCAACTACTCACAGGCTAATAGTAATATAACAGAGAAGGGACAAACACTTAAGTACCTAGTAGATATGATAGCCCGTATTTTATTGACTATAAATGTGCCCATGCTTATTCTTTGTCTTAATCTATCTTAATCTAAAAGCCCCTGATGAGCAAAGATGGTACCTTCTTTTATTTATTCCGATATTTTACATCACTTGATGGTGCAGAAAATGAATGACAACAATGATACTGATATTTTAAATTTAAAAATGGTATTTTTTATTATTTTAACATTTCTGAGTACATAGCAGAATACTACTTATGTACACATGCATCATTAACTCTGTGCTAGTTTTAATGAAGAGTTGTTATAAATCAATACTAATTGTTTTGATGATACTACTAATTAGAGCCACCTGTTATATTAGTTTGGCTTCTATTATATATGATTTTACAATGAATTGATAAAGTCGGTGTGTTATATGCTGGTCTGTATATATGTAGGTATCTTCCCTTAGAGAAATATAGACAAGATTAATGCTTCAATTTGTTCAGACCTTGTCACTGCTTATCTAAGTTTTGTTTTTGTAACTCAAATTTTGATAGTTTTCCCAGGTAAGAGTGCTGGAGCATCACCTAATAGTTAGATATTTTCAAAGCACATTTTCTTTGCATTTAGGCTCCTTATGGATTATAGAATAATTTTCAAGCTTGTACTTTTTTGAGTAGCTCTTGTTCCTGACTATTGTAACACCAAATGCAAGAAAAGCTGCAAGTAAAGGTGAAAGGTGCTTTAAAAAAACACTGTCTTCTAAATCTCTCCTTTCCTTCCATAGTAATAGGGTTATAGCTTTTGGTATGGCTAGTCACATTTTCCAGCCTCTCTTCCATTTAGCTATGACCAAATGAGTAAGTTCTCTCCAGTGGTATGTGAATGGGCATGATAGGTACCACGGCTGGGCTGAATCTTAAGAAAGCAGATTGTGTATTCCCTTCTCGCTCTCCCTCCCCCCACCTCTCTCGCTCTCTCGCGCTCTCTCTCTCTCTCTCTCTCTCTCTCTCTCTCTCTCTCTCTCTCTTTCCTTCTGGTTAGAAAAATATGTGTTCTTGTATGTTTCTCTGCTTTAGTTAGCAGTAAAAAATATTTCTTGGTACACCCCTAGAAGACTTCTTACATCTGGAACACAAGGACATACTTTGCTCCAAAAATATCTGGGAAATTGAGAATCTAACTACTTTAGCTATTGTAGTTGCAAGGGGGTGAGGGAAAATGGGATCAGGAATGAGTAGATAATAAACAATGCCTGCAATAATGATTTAAACACACAGAGGGAAAACTAGAAGAAAAATATTAAAATAAACCCAATTTGGAGGATATAAGTTAAAAATAGAGAATAATGAAGTAAGCAGAAGGCCTGGAAGTACTATGTAATAATTGTCTAGTTCTTCAACAGTTTCACATAATTGTGAAAATTATTGCAGTTCTGATCAAGACAAAATCAAGCCAAGCATGGTGGTGTACGCCTGTAAACCTAGTACTATGGAAAGCTGAGCAAAACAATCCAAAGTTTGAGCCCAAGGCAACTAAGTGACTTAGTAAGATTTTAAAAACCGGGCTGGGACATAGCTCAATACAAAGGCCCTGAGTTAATCCTAATTACTGGCTTTTAAAAAAGACACAAAAAATAACATAACACAAAGAAAAATAAGGTAAAAGAAAACTCAATATGAATCAATACCAATAAATTTGGAAATCTAAAAGGTTGGGAGTGTGTGTGTGTGTGTGTGTGTGTGTGCATGTATTTGTTCATGAAGCTGAATTAAAGGAATATTTAAAGATGTATTCCTTAAAAAGATCCCAGACAAGATGGTATTCTAGATAAATTATATTAAAATTTAGAGATAATTCCTAAGTTACATAAATTTTTCTGAATATAAAAAGATGGAAAATATCTCCATTAATGCTAAATGGCTAGCATAAACTTGCTCATAAACCATAAAAATAATAATAACAATAAGATGAGCTAATTTAACTTATAAGTATATATTTAAATTCTAAACAAAATATTCTCAAATCAAATTTTGCACTATTTGAAAAGAAAAAATATGTTTCTAGGTGATATGACTCAAGTTATTGATTGATTAAAATTGATTTCTGGGATACAAGAATAGTTTAACATTAGAAAGTCTATTAGTCTAATCCATTACATTATCACTTTAAAGTAGAAATCCATATAGTCATTCTACCAAAGAATAGTTTGATAAAACTTGTTTCTAACTAAATGAAAATTTGAAAATCCCTTTGTAAGCTGAAAAGATACAAAACCAAATTCTTTAATCCAATAATGGTATATGTTAGAAATATGGCATGAACATTATAATTAAAGGTTTTTTGGCAAAGATGGCTAGGTGCAACCCACAACCTATTCCCCCTTCTTCCATAGAAATATAAATCCCAAGCTCAGCTGAATTTCTCAGCTTTCCTGGCAACTAGAGATAATCATGTGGCTAGGTTGGCTAAATCTGACCAATGAGATATAAACAAATGTACAGGATATCAAGAGCAACTTTAAGAAACTGAGATTGCCAACAAGAATAAATTTCAAAAGCCCACAATTTCAACTTTACAAAGACTGCATGCATTGTGATGATAACTGCAAATATTAGAAGTGTACAAGTTAATAAATACAATTTACAGCCAGGCACGATGGTACAAGCCTATAATCCCAGCACTCTGAAAGGCCAAGGCCGGAGATTCCAAGTTTGAGCCAAGGCTGGGCAGCTTAGTGACTTAGCAAAACTCTGTCTCAAAATAAAAAAATTAAGAAGGGCTAAAGATGTAGCTAAATGTAAAGGCCTTGGGTTCAAGTCCTAGAAAGAGAGAGAGAGAGAGATAGAACTTAGAGGTGCACATAAAAACATGAAAAGTATGCATGTGAATGATACACATGGATATCAGAGGGAATAGGGTAGTGCTTTACCTGTATCCAGAAGTTTTTGTTTCCTTAAAATGAATAAAAATTATAGCAAAAGAGTTTTGCATCAGATGTGGCAAATAACAGTTATTAAAAATTAATTGCATTAGTGACCCAGTTATTAAGTTAGAGCAAATTATTTTATATACTTTTCTCTGTATAGAAAATATTGCATAATTTTTAAAAATTTTAGTTATATAAAATAAATGCTTAAAACAAATAAAAACATAATAAAATGTCAGAGATGAACATACAAAGTAAGCGACATCTCAGCCACATGGCTTTGTTCTTCGCAGATTGCAGGGTGACTGAACATATATGAGCCTCAGGGCTTGGCCTAATTGCCTCCTTCCGAGTAAATAAATGTCCCAAAGCCAAGGGTAAAGGTAGTCACTTTGATTTCCATATCCTAGAGATTGTTCTGATAAAGAAATCAATTCAGATGTATTATTATTGGCAGTGGATTATTAAATGACTACAATCAGAGTGAAATTACCCTTATTCCTTTAAAGGAATTTTTGCTGGCTTTGTCTAATAAAGATGAATCAAGATAGTAGAAAATAAAATGTAATATAACACATTGATAAACAGCAACAAAAAGCATAAAATGCCAAAGATCAATCCTAACAAGAAATATGTAAAACCTGCAGGGAACAAAACTATAAACATTTACTAAAAATTATAAAAGGAAATTTAAATAAATGAAAAAACACTCTATTTCTTAGATGGGAACATTCAACATTTTGCAGATATTGATTCTTCCCAACTTGGCCTATATGTTTTAATGACATACCAATAAAATAGAACCTGATAAGATAATTCTCAGATTCATTTGAAATAGAACATTTTTTCTGAGACAGGGTCATGCTTTGTAATCCAGATTGGTATTGGAATACACAATCCTCCTGCTTCAGCTTCCTAAATGCTGGAATTATAGGCATGTACCACCATGCCCAGATAGGAAATTTTTTTTTTAAAGAAATTGAGGGAAGGTAATCTATATCTGAATTTTAAGTACATTAAAGATTTTAATAACTGAAAGTGTGGTATCGATAAGAAAATAGAAAAATAGAAGGTGCACAAACATTATATATGAGATTTTAATATTAAGAT